CTATAGATTTAGGCAACTCATAATGTTTCTTTTGATATATCTGTTGCGTATAAGAAAATAAATGCAACATATAATTAAATTGAGTTGCGTAAACTATCCAATACGTAACGCCAAATAAAAGAGTTGTCGTTATATGTTTAACGCAACACTTTCAAATAGTGTTGCAATCCAAGTGTTGCAAGTAGGGGTGGGCATTGGTGCGGTCAAACCGCCCCAAACTGCACCAAACCGCGTTCGTGGTCAAGCCAAACCGCACCGTAAGACTTGCGGTCTTATTGCGGTCTGAATTTTTAGCGGTTTGCGGTTCGCGGTCGGGTTAATCCGAAACCGCGCGGTTGCGGTTCAAAACCGCAAACCGCTAAACCTTCACCGCTATTATGGACGAGTCTGTCGGCGGTGAGACGGAAACAATCTGAGGCCAAACTCTCCCTGTTCTCCTCACCCGCGGACAATCTGGGATGCAAATAACGCTAGCTTGCTGAGAACTCCGAGCTTCAGTTCAACTAGACAATCAAATTTCATGGATACATCGTTGGTGAAGCATAATGGAAAGAAGAAAAGATGTGAACTTTGAAATCGATTCCACGGGAGAAGGCGAGGGAGATCAACTAGACAAGTACACGCATATCAATGGTATCTGTAATGGATTACTTTAGTTGCAAATAGAATTCCTTCGGGTAGTAGTTATCAGCAGATTGGGTGCTCTGTTTCGATGGCAGTAGAAACAGAGTCGATCTAGTTCAAGTCATTACTCTCGGTAAGCATAGTGGGTGATTGATTGACTGATGAGCTTGTTTTGTTTTAGTGGGTCTGAGGAGAAGACAAATATGTTTCTTGTTTATGTTGCAATCAAATCAAACGCACTAGGCCTAGTGGTTGTTCTGAAACTAGTACCAGAAACTAAAGGCAGAACCTAGGAGCAAATACAAGCAGCCATGAGCCATTAATGGTTAGATAAAAGTTGGAAATGGAACTTCTTTTCGTGTGTATCTCTAATGAGTTGAGCTCTGTTGACGGGAGGTACAAGAGAAATAAACATAATTATGTGGGGAGGTACAACGAAAATAAGTTCCACAAACAACAGTAGCGTACATTAATTATGCGGTTCATATATGCGGTTGCGGTCCAAACCGCACCAACCCGTTAATTATGCGGATCGGTAAGATCGCACCAATTAGTTTGCGGTCTTATATGCGGTGCGGTCCGATTTCATAACGGTACGGTGCGGTTTATTTCATAACGGTGCGGTGTGGTGCGGACCGCACCATTGCCCACCCCTAGTTGCAAGAGGTCCATATTCCCGTAGTGGGCCTGGCAGGGAATGTAGGGCGACTAGGAGATGTGGTTGCGGATTCATCTGTTGCTGCTTGGAGCCGAGCGGCGATGGTGTTTGGTGAGGACGAACTGGAGGTGGAGAGAATGATATGAAATCCATCACATAAGAAGAAGCCCCATTAATTTAATGGCCCCCCCTAACCAAAATGAAAAGATCTTGGTGTCTTTATAATAACGAGTTCTCCCCAAAAACAAAAAGAATGGGTTTGTGAAGAGGAAATGATGATGGACATATCTGATTTTTTCTTCTCACGAAACCATCGATACTTTCTTATGGACGATCCTTCATTTTCTCCCCTTCCTGGCGCGCCAATTGTTTCAACCAAGAAACAAGAAAGCTTCCGATCTGTGAAAGGGCGGGGATGACCCCCATTATCTACACTCTGACGATCAACATTAGTACAATGATAGAGAAATTAGGAGATCTTAGGTAGAGAGAGATTGTAGAGAGATAAGTGATATGTCAAAATGAGTAGAGGAGAAAGAAGAAGAGATCCCTTACTTGGAAGACCTAAGAGTATATTTATAGGTCCAGTCACCCTTCATTGGGCTTTCATTGGATCTTTGTGGTGTTCTGTGGACTTGGGCGCATATGTGTTTGTGGATTACCGTTATTGTTCGAGTTGGGCCATGTCATATTTACCGGTCCAACAATTTCCATTTCACGTTTTAAGCCAACACATTTGAAGTTGACTTTGCTCTTTCTTCGAACATCACATGACGTCATTTGGGAGCAACCTGTGTTGCCGCCCTAGCTGCTGCCAGCCCATGTGGCACCTACTGATTGGATGAAAATAAATCTTTTAAATAATTAACTGGTAACCAAAATTGGAAGGAGCAGGGGACGGAACGGAGAAATTTCCGTTATTTCCTTCTTCCAATTAACACGAGGTGGGAGATGGAACATATAGAGATTGCATTATTTTTTAATTAACTTCTACATTTAAGTTTTCTCCCGTTAGGTTTGTAATATCCCCTTCTTATAAACTTTATTTTCGATTAAATTGTAAGTTGGTCACTATATTTAAAAAATAAGGGCTAATACCACTACAACACCCGAACTATCAAAGAAATGCCACTTGTGTCCTATTCTTTTCAATATTCCAGTTCTATCATGAACTATGATACTTTGTACCATTTGTATCCTGGCGATTTCGTTGACCGTTATCTCTAACGGTTGACCTGACGGTGGTCAAAGAGATGTTGACTTTTGCTGACATGGAAGGAAACGTGGCATCCACGTAGATGCCACATCATACCACATATATTTTTAATTCAAAATCAAATTAAAATGCAAAATAATTAAAAAATAAAAATAAAATCACTTTCTACCCACCGTCGCCTTCAACCCGCTCCCCACCCTACCCCGCCCTCAATTCTAAGCATCGTCGTCGCCGCCTTCAAATCCCTTCCTCAAATCAGCATCTATGGCAACGATATCTCGCCGCCGGTCGTCGCCTTCCCCCACGACAAGCTGCTCTTCCAGCGACCTCGCTTCCTCAACCCTCTCCATCTGGAAGACGACGAAGCTCCGATTCTCATACAACCAGTGGAACAACTTCGGTGGCCGAAATATGGGAGAGGAGAGAGGGACGATGATCGATAGGGACTCAAACGATGACTAGCGATCGCGAACAACGACCGGCGATGCCATGAGACTCTCCTCTATCTCCAGTCCATTCCAAACACCGACGATGCAACCTTGTTCCCCTGCTAGATTTGATTCCCCTCCAAATTGCTCGATCCCGCCGACCCGACCCTCCAAATTGCCCTAGCCCGCCGACCCAACATCGGGGCAAGCTCAAGTGATCAATCGATGGGTGAAGGGCAGAAGAGAGACGGATTTGGATAGGGGAAGATAGAGCCATGGCTGGTCGATTTAGGGCTCCTCTAAAATCGACCATGGAAGTTTTGACTCAGAGCAGTGGTGGAGGCAGGGGTTTTTTGTCGAATGAGGCAAGGTTTTTGTCGAATGAGAGGGGTGATTGGAGCAACTGGTTGCGAGGGAGCCGGATGGAAACCCGCCACATTTTTAGGTTCGAAGAGGAGAGCGGAGTACTGGGAGATGGTTGCGACTTCGCGGAGTAGGCGAGTTGAGAGGCGGAGTCGCAGAGAGGCAGAGGTTAGCAGGGAGGGAGAGAGAATGTGGGAGGAGGGTGAGGTCGAAAGTGGCCCAGAATTTTGCTTCTTTTTTATTTTAAAATGTTATTAATTTAAAATTCCATGTCATCTGCCACATCAGCGCTAATAATAATTTCTATTAAAATTAACGATCAACGCCGATCAACTCTAACGGAAAAAATAGTTCAGGACATAAATGGAATATTTGAAAGAATAGGACACAAGTGACATTTTGTCATAGTTCGGGTGTTGTAGTGGTATTAACCCTATTAATTTCAAGTTACCACTAAAAGTATTTTATTTCATTCGTCATCACTAAGATTAATTTAATATTCAAATTTGATCACTCAGTTAACTTTATTTGATGCCAAATTATTTCACATTTATCACAAAAAATTGTTCTCCGACATAACCTTCTGACTGCCTTACTCGCTTGTTCCTACCCCACCACCTTATTTTCCATCGATTAGCGGAAGGAACTTCATTGGAGGTAGTATCGCTACTCCAAGCGGCAACGTACAACTCATTTGACAATATTATGTTATGTTTTCTTATTCATTTTTGCGCTAGCATTTACGTATTTGATTCTTGTAAAGTAACTGCTATTGAGGAATGATATTGTTTGATTCTTTGTTAAGCTATTTGTTCTTGTAAACCATTTTTATGCTTTCAATTTTTATATGAATACTGCAGAACTATTCTAGTTTAGTACTATTTTCCACATTTTATCGGTTACTTCGATATTGGTGATAATTCAACTTTTGTTGTTCAAGTATAATTAGCTTTTATAGTCTTATAAATTTGTTATTGTGTTCTTTCTTCTATGTGCGGATAGTATGAGTCATAAAACACAAGGCGTGAATAATATGGTTGGAAAAAATGAAATGTCATGTATAGGCATGAAGTTCAATGGGGATGACAGTGGTTAATTATGAACTTTGTGTTCATGGTTTGAACGTTTTATTTATACTAGACTTAATTTATTTACAATTAAGCTCCTAAAACTTCATATATACTATCCAAAGTTCACTTTTCCGGGAATGATAAACAGCTAAAACTAAAATTGAAGTGAAAAAATGAAAGCAACTATATTATTTGATAGCTGCTGCTCCTTGAAGTTAATCCCAAACTCTAAAATTTAATTAAAAAGAAATTGCAATCTGTATATGTCCATCTCCCACTTCTTATTAATTGGGAGGAGTAAATAACGGAAGTTTTCTCCGTTCCGTCCCCTGCTCCTTCCAATTTTGGTTACCAGTTAATTATTTAAAAGATTTATTTTCATCCAAGGTGCCACATGGGCTGGCAGCAGCTAAGGGGGTTGCTGCCAAATTTTGTCCATTTAGGGCCCTGCCGGCAATTCCGCGGTGCCGTAGTGCGGCTGTGCCGGCATATTTTCAGCCATTGGATTTCTGTATTCAATCACAACCTTTCATTCTTAACCACTACATATTTTACGTTGGTGGAGAACTTAAAACCAACTCCAAACCTTCGGCAATAAATAACAGCAACCAAAAGGACTTCGCTGCTGCAGTGCCCGATTCCATCAAAACAGACCCAAACCAATTGAAACCAATGGCCGCACAATCTTCAGCCTTGGTGTTCAAGGTCCACAGGCGCGAACCGGAGCTGGTCCGACCGGCCAAACCGACCCCATACGAGGTCAAGCTCCTCTCCGACATTGACGACCAGGAAGGGCTCCGATTCCACATCCCTGTGGTTCAGTTCTACAAGCACGTGCCTTCCATGCGCGGGAAGGACCCCGTGGCAGTGATCCGGCGGGCGTTGTCAGAGACACTTGTGCCTTACTATCCGTTCGCCGGTCGCCTGAGGGAAGGGCCCAACCGGAAGCTCATGGTGGAGTGCACCGGCGAAGGCGTGCTGTTCGTGGAGGCCGACGCCGATGTCCGGCTGACGGAGTTCGGGGACCAGCTTCAGCCGCCGTTTCCTTGCATGAAAGAGCTTCTGTTCGACGTTCCCGGCTCTAACGCCGTCCTTCATTCCCCTCTCCTACTTATTCAGGTTCAACATTAATTAAAAACCTTACAAACATCCATGCGTCATGCGTCTGAGTATATATATATAACTGTGTTATATACTTTTAGCAAAATATTATTGTCACAATTTCTGTTAATTACCCATATAAATATTTGGTACAGGGTCAATAGTCCTGCGACTAGTTTTGGTAGGTTGATTTAATTGGGGTCAGATTTAGAGGGCGAGAATAAATGGTTTTTATTTTTTTATCTTCTTTGTAAAATCATAGTATAGGGTGACAACTGGTGGTAGACGGTAGTGAAAAGTAATAAATGATAGTTCGTGTATATTTTTAAAATCATGTTTACAACTATTCAACACGATTGTATATCCATACTACGACGATACACTTTTATACTATCATAGTATTATTTTATGAACTACCATATCAGTTTTTTCTTCCAAATATATCATAACGACATCATTTTGAAAAATTCAATTAATATGATTTTTCTGTGTACAAAAATCAAAATTATGTTGACAACAAAAATAACCGTTAAATTAAGTTGAAAAAGTTAATTATCTTTCATAAATAGTACATAGAATTGTGCATGGTTATAGAGGGAAATTATGTATAGGATTTGTTCTCTAAATATTTCTGTGCTTTGATTCTCTTAAAATACAACAGGTGACGCGCCTCAAATGTGGCAGTTTCATCTTTGCCCTCCGTCTTTCCCATTGCATGAGTGATGCTCCAGGTCTTGTCCAGTTCATGTCCGCCATCGGCGAAATCGCTCGAGGATCCCATGCTCCCTCTATCCCTCCGGTGTGGGAAAGACATTTTCTTAGTGCACGCTCGCCTCCACGTGTGACACATACCCACCGCGAGTACGGACAACAAGCCACCATCGATGACAACAAAACAATGACAACAATGCCTCACAATTTCGATAGCATGGCGCAAATATCCTTCTTCTTCGGCTGCTCCCAACTATCCGCCCTTCGTCGCCACGCTCCTCCGCACCTCCGCCAATCCTACTCCCGATTCGAGATCTTGGCATCCTGCCTTTGGAAGTGTCGAACGGTCGCCCTTCGGCCCGACCCCGAAGAAACGATGAGGATGATCTGCCTTGTCAGCATGCGAGGAAAATTCTCCTATCCACCACTGCCCATAGGTTACTATGGCAACACCTTCGCCTTCGCGGTGGCAGAGGCACCGGCTGGCGAGCTATGCCGTAACCCATTAGGTTATGCTTTAGATCTCGTGAGAAAGGCCAAAGGTGAGGTGACAGAGGAGTACATGAAGTCAGTCGCCGATCTAATGGCGTTGACAGGACGACCTGATTTCTTGAAGACAAGGTGGACATACCTAGTGTCAGATGTGACTAGGGCCGGGTTTGAGACCGTGGATTTCGGGTGGGGCTCGCCGGTTTACGCTGGCCCGGCTGAGCCAGATGTCGGGCCAGTTCCGGGATTAGCGAACTTTTGTATACCGTGTAAGAACAAGAAAGGGGAGGATGGGATTGTTCTGGCTATTAGCTTGCCGACGCAGGCAATGGAGAGGTTTGTGAAAGAGCTCGAAAGCATGTTGAAGTCACCACCAAATGAGACCAAAACGTTTACTCATGTTATGTCAGCTTTATAAACGATAGTTGGACTTATCATATGATCGGTTGCAGGGAAGCCTTTTCTTTAATTAACTAGTTAATTTTGGGGCATTATAATGTAATGACTTGAGGTACGTGTATCAATGTGGTTTTTATCATAATGTTGATGTTTGATCTAATTATAATATCATTATTATTAAACTTGAAAGTTTTAAGTTCAAATCTTTTAAATAGTCGCTAATGATAAAAACCAATATATGTAACCAATCATATGCATTTGGTCAAGCTTGAGCTTAATAATGGAGGCCACAACCGGAAAAAATTATGTCACCAATATATAAAAAATTAGGTTGATCTCGTAACATTGAAATTTAATTGAAAAAAAAAATTCAAACAAAGATCAAGAAGTAGGCATGTAACTCATCTACCTCAAGGTGAAGTCATCAGTCCTCACATGCCTTACAAGTTGTACATGAGTGATGCCACGGGGCGCAAGAGAAAACACTAAGAAAAAAAATAAGAATGTTTATTTCTCTGTCTCTGCCCTCCCACACTATTGGTTTTTCCAATTACTCGAAACAAATCAATACCAAATTTTCCTCCTTAGATCAAACAACACCCAAATCTAACATGCTACCAAACCAATACCACAATTCTAATATGTAATCTGAGCCTTATTTGTCCTTAGAAGCATCTACTTCCTCTGAAATTACCTTCATTTAAAAATGAAAAAAAGACAAAATACACGTGTATAGCCAAAATTTCGCGTTTGTGCCAATAATATCCAAATTTGGAGAAATACCACTTATAGCCACTTCCGTCCAATTCTTTAACGGTGTTAGCGTTAAGTATGACTAGACAAATGGAGATGCTTACATGGCGAGCTTTTATTTCCCTTTTACTCTGTAATTATCCACGTGGCTAATGATTAATTAAAAAAATTAACTGACCAGAAATAAAAAAACTCCTCAAATTTGAAATGAACACTTCAGTCACATAAAATCTAAAAATAAAAAATAAAAAAACCCCATAAAGTTTACACGTTGTCTTTTGATTTGTGAATAATAAAAACAACCTGAATAATAAATAAAACAAAATAAACAAGCAGATCTGGAAAAATCAAAGAACACCAATCTTCACGCACAAATCGTAATATCAACCGACCCACAAATCATCTCTTTCAAATATGAGTTTTCGTTTCTGCATCTTGAACCACAAATATTGCCCCCGTTTCTGCTTCTCTTTGCTGCGCTCGCAGGTGCTTCACAGAGAAACCGCCGCCGCCCCTCTTTCTCGTCTTCCTCGTTTTAAGATCCATCGTCGGTGACAAAGGCCGAGAAAAGGATGAGGCAGGGAGCGAGGCAGTGAGGCGAGCGTCACAACCGCCTCAAAGATCGATTCGACTAGATTGTTTTCCTTTTCCTCTCGTCCATCACCAGCTACTGAAGATCCTCATTGGAGCCGGAGTTCTGAAGTAGTGACGATGAGCCGCAAGCGAAACATCCATCTGCCAAAAAATCAATTCCTACCTTGACTTCAATCGCCGCCCCCAATCCCTACCTGTTCAACTCCGCTCCCGTCCGCTGCTAGGAGATTTGAGAGTAGAGCCCTCAATCTCTAGCTCAAATAGATTCATGCTTGAATGTCGATCCATAGATTTTGGGTATTTATGGGTCTGGGATTTTGGATATTTCTAGGTTTGAGATTTTTGTTGCATGGAAGAGGGAGATTGGGGAGGAGAAGACGTAGGAGAGGATTCGCGTGGGTAATGGAAGTTGGGGAAGAACCCTAAAATCAAAATTGGGGAAGATGGGTTGAAGCATATGGGGTATGTGAGGTTTTTTTAATTTATGATATGTAAATATTAAAAAATTGAAATATCTGACGTGTCACTATTTGCTTATGTGGCGCTGTTGTGTTCGCTGAGTTGGTGCTTAGTCAACGAACCGTCAAATTGACGGTGTTAATAACATCGTTAAAGTATCTAATAGAAATGGCTATTTGTCATACAACAACTTTGAAAGCTGGCTATAAGTGGTATTTCTCCAAATCTGGCTATTATTGACACAAACGTAAAATTTTTGGCTATACATACAAGTGTATTTTGCCAAAAAAATATCTTCTCCAAAAATCCTACCCAGTCAAAACACCAAAAAATGTCTGTAGACACCACATTTTGTCCGGAACAACCATCCTACTCAAAACTCGGAAGAACATCCTACTTAAAATTCAAAAAGGAAATTGAAGTGAAAGTTTAGATGAGGTTGGTTGATATTAGCAATGACGAATCAATAAGCACCAACGATTTCCATGTTCGCTTTTTATTTAGTTCGAATATTTGTACTAGGTAAGATTAGCAGTGACTAATAGCTACCAAATTCGCTTTATTTAAGACATCAGTAGTATGTCATCACAACCTATACTAATATTACCGTATTCATTTAATGATTGGGGCAATAGGTTTGAAATTGGTCGAGTTGGATAGGAAGGCAATGGTAGTCTTATTAATATTGGTCGAAATTCATAGTTATGAACTATTTACTTAGAAGTTGGGATTTGGGTAAAGATTGGAGAAAGGCAAGCAAATTGGGTTGGAAAGAATCATTGAAATGTTTAGGGCCATACATTTCAATAATTATATCAACATTTTAATGATAAGTCACAAAAGTAATTACATGCCTAATTACAAAGTACAAATGTACACTTAATAATTATTACATTTTAAATATGAACAAATAAGAAATTAAGTATAAATAAAAAGAAAAGACATCTTCCATCTTTGGACACCAATCAGAATCGGAGGCCTAGCCTTTGAGGCTTTTTGGGCCTCCATAGATCATCATCTTGGGCCAGAAACATACCAAGGACTTGCAAAAAAGGAAAAGAAACTATTAAAAATTAGCACAAACCAACAGCCCACATTTAAGCCCAATTTTCAAACCATAAACCCAATTCAGACCCATGATTTTCGGTCTAGTCCGATCAGGTCAACCAATCCAATCAACCAAAGTCAACACTGGTCAACCAATTCAATTCTGATCGGCCCGGTCAACCGACCCCACTGTCCATATCACATCCTAAGAGGCAGCAGATCCATATCACATCTCAAGAAGCAACAGATTTTTGGTGCCATTCTCTCAAAAACAACAAAGCGGCCATCTCCTCCAAAGACCAACACAATTTTGCCACCACAAGGGATGGATCAGTCCACCACTTCAAGAGCAAATACTAGGGATGGCAATGGGTAGGGTTGGGTGCGGGTTTACCCTATACCAACTCCTAACCCGCCGGGTAAAGCCTTCTAAAATACCCGACCAAATAATCACCGGGTATGAAAATTATATAACCATACTCTACCCACCGGGTAACCACGGATATTCGGGTAACCATGGGTACGAATTCTAAACTATGAACTTATACACATATATGCACATACATATTGTTGTCCATTAAAAATTCTCAATACTTGTAACTGTTCTACCTTCAACAATCCACACAAATAAAAAGAGCAAACACATAATAATTGTTCTTGCTTCTACAATCCACACAAACATAATAATCGTTTGCATCTTCATCATCAATAATGGTAGCTAAACTCAATTTCTCAAGCTAAACTAAATTTCTCAAGGGAAATTGACCCTTTGGTTAGCGGGGCGGGTATTATCGATTACCATACCCGTACCCTACCCTTTATTTTGAAACCGGGTATTACCCGTAACCGCCCCTTAACCCGTCAAAGCGGGTACTTATCCTCGTTGACCGGTTACGGTCGGGTAGGGTACCCATGGTTACAGGTTGGATTGACATCCCTAGCAAATACAAAGTGGCCAGCCAAGGTTGTCAACCCGCGGGTTGACCCGCGGATCGACCCAATTTGACCCTGACCCGGTGGGAAAAACGGGCCGCACGCACCCACCGGGCCGACCGCTACAAGGTACCGGGTTGGAGGTAAAATTGTGTCATTTTTTTCTTTGGTTTGCGAAATGCGCCTATTTTCCGATTTTTCTTTTCGCCTTACTCAATCTTCGTAATCCTAAGTTGAACATTTGAATATTGATGTTATATAAGTGTGTGTGAATTTTCACTATATGTTGGATCTAAGTACGATATGTTATTTTGGTGTAATATTATATGTTATAACTCATATGTTAGATAAGATTTGATATAATTTATGAGGATAAGTACAATATGATGACTCTTTCCATATTTCCGGGCCAAGCCGGACTAAAATGGTTGATCCATTAACCCTTGACCCACTAGCTCGACCGGGTCCGGGTCAACCCGCGGGTTGACAACTTTGCTCTTTCTTCGAACATCACCGGGACGTCATTTGGTTTATTAAATATGCCCTGCCGGCTGCCGGCAATTCCGCGGTGCCGTACCAGCACTAGTGCCGGCATATTTTCAGCCATTGGATTTCTATATTCAATCACAACCTTTCATTCTTAACCACTACATATATTACGTTGGTGGAGAACTTAAAACCAACCCCAAACCTTCGGCTATAAATAACAGAAACCAAAATGACTTCGCTGCTGCAGTGCCCGATTCCATCAAAAGTATTCAAAACAGACCCAAACCAATTGAAACCAATGGCCGCACCATCTTCAGCCTTGGTGTTCAAGGTCCACAGGCGCGAACCGGAGCTGGTCCGACCGGCCAAACCGACCCCATACGAGGTCAAGCTCCTCTCCGACATTGACGACCAGGAAGGGCTCCGATTCCACATCCCTGTGATTCAGTTCTACAAGCACGTGCCTTCCATGCGCGGGAAGGACCCCGTGGCAGTGATCCGGCGGGCGTTGTCAGAGGCACTTGTGCCTTACTATCCATTCGCCGGTCGCCTGAGGGAAGGGCCCAACCGGAAGCTCATGGTGGAGTGCACCGGCGAAGGCGTGCTGTTCGTCGAGGCCGACGCCTATGTCCGACTGACGGAGTTCGGGGACCAGCTTCAGCCACCGTTTCCTTGCATGAAAGAGCTTCTGTTTGACGTTCCCGGCTCTAACGCCGTCCTTCATTCCCCTCTCCTACTTATTCAGGTTCAACATTAATTAAAAACCTTACAAACATCCATGCGTGTGTATATATACTTTTAGCTATGGATATATACGCACACGTTTAGCAAAATATTTATGAGTAAATACAAATTTTAATCAAGAAAAGATTTGAATAATATGTATGAGTAAATACAAATAACTAATATATATTATTATCCGTTACAAAAAAAAATCACTAATATTTAACATTTCGAAAGATTTGACTAATAATTTGAAAATGTTGACAGATTCAGCGAATTAATTATACTAGTTTAGTTAGAAATTCATCTAATGTGGGTCAAAGGTGGAAAAAAATATATAACGTATGTTTTATGATGTGTTCATATTTCAAAAAAAATTCTAAAATACATTCATCATGCACATTATGAGAGATTGACTCGTTCTAACTACAACATCCCAATCGACGGCCAAGTATAACCGCCGATCGGGTCTAGCATAGGGCAAGCAAACAATAAGAATTTATCATACCATGGGGATCTAGGCTTACCCTACTTCAGGTTTATGGTTCGTTATCTAGCCAACCTAGGATGGTGATTAGAAGAATTAAACTAACTAACCTAGCTAACCACTAACCTAGCTATTTACAAGGTTGGGAGCTCTCTTGGGTTGAATCGTCCTAGGTCCATTATTTGGAGCGCTGTTGGGTATCCTCCTAGCTCGATCGACTCAACTACACTACCGTTTGGAGATGGACTCCCTCGAGAACCACCCGGAACGGCAAATCGATGGATGGGTAGTGCTCTATTCAAACTAGGGTTTCGCATAATGCTAGGAGATCGGTCAAATCAACTCCCTCGTGGACTACCCGGACAATATACGATAGGAGTTACCCGAAGACGCCAAAAGGGGGGGCTCTAAGGGGATTATCTCCCTCCTAGGTCAAAAGCTCAATACATAAATGGAAACACAACTCATGCCATTCATGAAAATATCCATCAATTAAGTAAAACATCAATCAATCACGGAGTTTGTCACATACATCAAAATTAAACCCAAATCTAAACCTAGGGTTCTTAAACCCAAGGGAAGAGGGTGAGTTTCTACAGAGAGGGGGGAGAGATTACAAAGAAACCTCTATATCTTCATCTTCTTCATCTAGGCTGGATTCCTAGCTTCCAAACTTGATCAATGCCTTCAATTAAGCTCCAAGATCTCTCTCTCTCTCTCTCTCTCTCTCTCTCTCTCTCTCTCTCTCACACACACACACACACTTGAACAACCCTTTGGTGTTTTGGGTTGAAACCCTAGAGAAAGAAAGTGTTCCTTCTCCAAAAACCAGCTCCCCTTTCTTCTTCCTTTGGTTGCTGTTTTTATACCCAGGTCGAGCCCAGTTCACGGCCATGAACACCATAACGCGCCCGTGAACTCAGCGTCGTCTCCAAACTCACTGCTTCACTCTCCAGGGTTCACGGTTTACACTCAAAGTTCACAGTCTTAGAGACCATGAATTGCCTATTCGTTAGTAACCTCTGGAATCTCGCTGGATTCCTCGTTGTTTACGGTTTGAGGTTTCAGTTCACGGTCTTGGAAGACCGTGAACTCCAATGTTGGACCGTGAACTGCGGCTGCTTCATGGACGCCTACGCTTCACTGAAGTGTTGTACTTTTCTTTGATTATTGACTTTTTGACCTCCAATCGTCCCGAACTCGTCCTCGACCCTTCCGCACGTGCTAGGACCTGAAATGTATCAAAATAAGCACAATCTAGCGTGAAATATGTAGAGGAACGATTAAATGAAAAGTCAAACTATCAAGAAATGAGGGGCAAAATGTGTACAAGTAGACCCGAATCAGAGATGTTAAGATACCACAACGAAAAATCGTTCATGATTCCACAACTCATCATATTTAGAAGTGTTTCTTTACTTTGCTTATTGCATTAAGTGCTCTTTCAAAACTTGAATGACAACCGATAGCAACAAAGACCCCTAAGTTTCGTGTTTTTGTTTATATTAAACTCACTTACAGAATATATTAATTAAAAGTTAAATATAGATAAAAAAATATTAGTTTTTGTTTATAATTACTCCACATTTTTGGGGCCAAGGTGGTGCAAATGACCCACCCTGACCACATGTGGCTCCGCCACTGATTAGCCCGCTCGCTACCGCTTCTCGTGTTAGCAAGAAGATGATATTTTAAAGATTGATAGTTTGAATTTTAACCCAAAGTCAAGAGCTTGTCATCTACAACTCCATGTAGTCGACACAACGATGAACTTAATAAGGGAGAAGTGTCATCGAGCAAATGATTTCTATGTTTAATCTTCTCTTTAGATCGTATTCTTTTTGCTTTGTTTTTTTCAAGTTCATCTTGATTCTCCTTGTTATGGATTTTCGGGACTAATCGCAGGTTTGATTAGGTTGAACCCATGGGTTTGGATTCAATTTTATTCTCAACAACAAAAAATAAAGAGAAATTAACAAACAATAAAGCAGATAAAACTCGCCTTCGAACCAAAATTCGGCAATATCATGTTCAACCCTCTTTGATAAGGTTGAACCAAGTTTGTAACAAATTCAAAACCTACCCGACCAGCCAATTACAAAAGCGAATAAAATTCACTCCCTCCCAAAAACTTGTAAGTATCGGGTTTAAGACTTTTTGAACTAGTTGAATTAGGTTGGATACCCATAGGGTTGGGTTCTCAACCAAAAGGAAAAGGATAAACATAAAAGCACTAAAGTGGATAAACTCGCTCCCTACAAAACTCTACCCACCGAGTTCAATTCGCATTGATTGGTTCGAACCGAGTTTTTAACAATTCACAATCGGCTCAACATGTCTATTGTAAAATAAGATAAAACTCTCTCTATACAAAACTCGTCAGCACCGAGTTTGGGTTCAATTGTCATTATCAACCAAAAGGAAAAGGAGAAATAAAAAAACATTAAGCAGACAAAAATCTATATATCGATCAAAAACTCGTCAACATTGTGTTCATCTCGCTTTGACCAAGTCGAATTGAGTTTTTAAAAAATTCAAACTCAACCCAACCTACCAACTAAAAATCAGATAAAACTCACTCTTGATATAAAACTCGTCAATACAATGGTTTGGGTTCAATTGTCATCCTCGACGAAAGGAAAAAATAGAAATTTTAAAAATACTAAAATTGGGTTCAAAGTCGCTTCGACCTGGTCGAATTATGTTGGATACCCATGAGTTTGAGTTCAATTGTCATGCTTGACCAAAATCAAAAGGAGAGATAAGAAAAAACTAATGAATATGAATCTCGGTCCCGATACAAAATTCAGCAACACAAAGCAGATTTGGTATGGATTTTTGCTAGCGGTCTTTGGACACGATGAATGGGTACAACTTAGGAGTCCACCGAGAGTGTTTGGAGAAGGATTGTGAATTATTGCGCGAATGCGAGGATTGTGCATAATAGATAAGGTATGGATCTTCAGTAGCAGTCGTGGCAAATGGTGGAAGAGGACAAGTTATTATTTCGAGATGAGTTGCATTTTGGTGGACCAAAGCGATATTTTTGGTAAAAGATCATAGACGAAAACCTAATGAACAATAGATGAAAACTTATTAGACAATGAGCAATAGATGTAGACCCAACAGACAATAGATGAACCCATAGATTATAGAATAAGAGAGGGGTAAAAGAAGGACTAGAAACTTCCCCACTTGCACTTGGAGGAGTTAGGGAGCCACTAATGAATAGTAACTCCAATGTTAGGCTTTTATATATTAATTAATTAATATATTAATGATCCAAGGCGATGATTTGGGCAAAAGATCATAGCCGAAAACCTAATCAACAATAGATGAAAACTTATTAGAAATGGGCAATAGATCTAGATCCGACGAACAATAAATGAAAACATAGGTTATAAAATAAGAGAGTGGGGTAAAAGAAAGACTTGAAACTTTAATACTTGCACTTGGATTTGGGAGCCACTAATGAATAGTAACTCCAATGCTAGACTTTTATATATTAAATTAATATTAATTAATGGTAGACTTTTATATATTAATATATTAATTTACTTTAAATTTATTGTCACGACTTCTGATATCTGCCCATATAGCTACTTATTTTGTCTCCAATACTTCTGTTCTTTGATTCTCTTAATTTGATACAACAGGTGACGCGCCTCAAATGTGGCAGCTTCATCTTTGCCCTCCGCCTTTCCCATTGCATGAGTGATGCTCCGGGTCTGGTCCAGTTCATGTCCGCCATTGGCGAAATCGCTCAAGAATCCCACGCTCCCTCTATCCCTCCTGTGTGGGAAAGACATTTTCTTAGTGCACGCTCACCTCCACGCTTGACACATACCCACCGCGAGTACGAACAACAAGCCAACAACAATAACAACAACACATTGACGACAATGCCCCTGCATTTTGACAACATGGCGCATAAATCCTTCTTCTTCGGTCGTTCCCGATTATCCGCCCTTCGCCGCCACGCTCCTCCACACCTCTGCCATTCTTATTCCCAATTTGAGATCTTGGCATCATGCCTCTGGAAGTGTCGAACAGTCGCACTTCGGCCTCACCCCCAGGAAAAGATGAGGATGGTCTACCTTGTCAGCATGCGAGGAAAATTCTCCGATCCGCCATTGCCCATAGGTTATTATGGAAACACCTTCGCCTTTGCGGTGGCAGAGGCACTTGCTGGCGAACTATGTCAGAACCAATTAGGTTACGCTCTAGATCTTGTGATAAAGGCCAAAGGTGAGGTGACGGAGGAGTACATGAAGTCAATTGCAGATCTAATGGCGTTGAAAGGACGACCTAATTTCTTGAAGACAAGGTGGACATATTTAGTGTCAGATGTGACGAGGGCCGGGTTTGAGACTGTGGATTTCGGGTGGGGCGCGCCAGTGTATGTTGGCCCGGGTAAGCCAGATGTCGGACCGACTCCGGGATTAACAAACTTTTTCATACCGTGTAAGAACAAGGAAGGAGAGGATGGGATTGTTCTGGCGATTAGCTTGTCGGTTCAGGCAATGGAGAGGTTCGTGAAAGAGCTTGAAAGCATGTTGAAGTCACCACCTGTTGGAGATGAGGCCAAAACATTTACTCTTGTGATGTCAGCTTTATAAATTATATCTTGGGTTTATCATATTATTGGTTACAAGAAGACTTTCCTTTAATCAACAAGTTATTATTGGGGGCAAGTATAGTATCGTAATGACTACTGATACACTTTATATGTCCAGAAAGAATTGGTGTCAATAATTTGAATTTTTTTAGAGGGGTTCAAATATGCTTTATATACATATGATCATTTAATAGTGTACTACCATAACCAGTTGGAAGATTATATACATATGATCATTTAATAATGCATCTAATCAAATATACATATTAATAAAATATGACTCATCAATGACGAAATCAAAATAATGTTTATGAAGACCATGATTCTTCGCATGTTTCACAAAATGAATTGTGTCATCAACTATTCACCCAACTTTAGTCAGAGTGAGTGGTGGCATTAAATGTTCCTCCAACTTTAATCAGAATGATTGATGACATCTACTCTTCATCCAATTTTATTCATAATGAGTGGTGCCATCAACTGTTCCTCTTCCTTTGATCCCATTGAGCGGTCCATCAACTGTTCATCAACCTTTAGCCATATTGTGGCTGAATGAATCTTTTCGTGTTTCTATAAATGGTGGCTAAACTTTGTCATTCTATTAATTCCAACCATTCAACTTTCTTCATTCTCACAATTTCATACTTCTCTCTACATTCCATATTTCCATCAAGCTCTTTCTGCATCATGAGTTCCCCTAATAGAGAAGCTAAGAAGAGGCAGCAGGAAGACGATGATAGGCAATGGGAGTATGAGTGCCAACTTAACCGTGAACGTCAACAAATGATGGTGGTGGAAGGATCCTTCTTGTGCCAACAACAAGCACTCACATCTCATCATCGTTCACAATCACACAAATCAATGTTTCGTAATAGGGTAGAAGCACACCAACACTTTATGCAACAATATTTTGTTCCAAATCCAACTTACGACACCAGGTTCTTCAGAAGGAGATTTTTTATGTCCCTATCCTTGTACAACCGAATCAAGACAGACATCGTTCAACATGAATCCTATTTCCAGCAAGGCCGAGATGCTTCCGGTCACCTGACACGCTAAAACACAACACCAAACTGCGACCAAGTGTAATCGCAGTCCGAAAATGCAGAATAGTGCAAGTTCTATTTATCAACCCGGGTTCTAGATCTACTGCCTACTCCGTGATTATCTATTATCTAGCAGACAAAGTTGAGTGAATATAATTTTAAGCAAAAGCAGTAAGAAAGCAGGAAATGGTTCGAAGTTCTTAAGCAGGGGAAGAGTCACTCGGGAATGAGTCCCCCTAGCTCCTTAGTTAGGTCAAAGTTGTGATTACCTTTGGTTGATTTACTGTTGATTAAACTGCGGAAGATCCGATAGTTGTTTGGAATCTCTTAAGCTGACCAAGCCCTCTCAGACAGACTACCCGGCAGACGACTAGTCTTCACCGGGATAGAACGCTGAGGCAATTAACACAAAACTCCACTAATGGAATTGGATTCCATTAAAAAGCAATGAATCGACTAACTCTCGTATAATCGATTCACTACTACCGATTGAAGAAGGTTTAACAACCTAATCAGATTCTATCTATCTCAGGTTGCAACAAAAATCAATAAAAGATGATCAGGCTTCAATTGACTCAATCAAAACACTTCAATCAATTATAATCAAGCAGTATCACAATCCAAACGTCATTACAATCGATATCCCTAACACATGGAACTAGGGTTCTTCATACCCAAGTAAGAGAGGGTTCTACTCCATAGAGAGAGAGAGAAATAAAATACAAAGCAGTCATACTCATCATGATGGGAAGAATCTACTCTGGGATGATAATCTTCACTCCAAGGATGAAATCCGAGCTTGATTTATGAAACCCAGCTCCAAAATCACCTATAGGGTGTGTTCTTCGCACTTTCTCTCTCTAGGACTCTATTTCTAAATCGGAAAATCGATTCCCCTTCAACAGATCCGAAATTGGGTTAAAACCCAGAATTTCCCGACTGCACGGCCAGGCCACACGGTCGTATAGAATTTTCCAGCTACCTGTGTGGAGGTATAAAACGCCGCGTTTCACTTATGTGCCTTAATGCACGCTACACGGCCAGAACCGCACGGCCGTGTAAAATCTCGACCTGCCCATGTGAGCTCTCTGGGATTTCCACACGGCCACAATGGACCATTTACACGTCCAGTGTGGTTAGCCCGCGCAAAGGGGTTCCACACGGCCACGTCACACGGCCGTGTCGTTTTAAGGTTTGGTCGTGTGGTTTCCCAGCTTTCTGTCAATCGTTCCAACTTCGTCCAATCGACCCCGAACTCGTGCCCGAACCTTCCTTCACATACTAGGACCTGAAATATCACAAACACGAATAACCTAGCATGAAATTGGCCTAAAACACGACAGATGAGACTCAAACGGTAGAGGAAGGGTGGACAAAACATGTGTATATATCAAGCCATCAAATTCCCCCACACTTAACCGTTTGCTTGACTCAAACCAATGCAGCTCTCCAGACCTCTATAGCAACATGCAACCCCGATCGTCGGCAGAGGATTTTTTAGATCATTTAGCAACTTACGAGGTCAACCGACGCACAAGACACCTCCTAGATTCTTCGGCGAGAACTCTAGTTTCGATTCGGCATCATGGCAAATAGTGATCAGAGGAAAAATGAATCATGGACGAAGGGACTCTCAAAAACAGAAAGTTCATGGACTCACTTTTTTTAAGGTGCTCTATTTTCATCTTGAAGATGGTTGGAACCCTTCTTTTTTTTTTTGGGTCCCAACCTGTTATTTCCAGAAAATGGGGCTCCCACCTATTAAAGGTTTTGAGGAAGGCCAACTCTTACTGGCCATGCCAGGAGCAGCTCTTACCCGCCTTGACGGGAGTAGATGTCTCGAGCCTCGTGCGGGGGAACGAAATGTAAGGGGGCTGGAGGTAGTAGGTGGAAATTGGGAACGGATTCCCGTCTCCCCATACACACTTTCACCCCTTTTTGCACGGGAGACGTTATTTTAAAAGCACAATTTAGAGCACCTTTTTTTCAAAACACGATACAGGAGTCCATGATAAGTAGAGTGTCCACAATACCACACAATTCAAGGGTCATAAAATCACTAATTGACATAATCAACCAACACAATATGAAGAAAAAAAGGAGACTTCTTAAATGCATCAACATCCTCCATAGTGCTACACTACCTCCCTAGGTTGCATATCACCATAAAGACTATCAATTCAAAGCATACTGAGCAGGATATTGCAGGGAACAGTACTTGGAGCCCTCAATTCATCAAATTGGACAGTGGAATAGGCTCCAAGCACACAAACTCATCTAGCAGTCAAAGATAGATAAACAACCCCTCACACTTAAGTACAACATTGCCCTCAATGGAGCAGAGGGAAAGATAACGGGAAACGATGTTACCGGGAAAACGGACTCCTGGGGGACTGGAAATGGGACCAGCCAGCAGAGCTAGAGTCATCAAAACATCTGGGTGATAGAAACCATAGTTCCAAGTGGACAAACCGAAAACAAACGAAAGGAAAACAAACCTTGGAGGGGTTGCCTCTCCACAAGCGCTTCTTTTATGTCTTGAGCTGGACGCAGAGGGTGGATGCTCAGAGATGTGTAGGAACATGTGCCTTCAAGAGCGGATCCACATCGCTCTTGAGGTACAGCTTCAGATGGTGGCCATGCACATGACGGGTGTGACCACCAGCACTTGTCAACTTGACCTGGCCATCAGGCAGGATGCAAGTGAGTGAATACTCGGTTGGCTAGGGCGGTCGTGGCTCAGGAGGCGGGACAAACTCATAGTGGTCTTCGGATTTCTTTTGAGTAGGCTTAGCTACCTGCAATTTCGGCTGCCACTCCTCCTTAATCCGCTCTTTTGGTAACTCAGAAAGCGGTGGCGGTGGAGGAGGAGGGGGTGCAAAGTCCTGCAAAACGGAAGACACAGAAGGATACACGACAACCTCGTGTACCTGGTGAGATAAATCATGCACAGGGGAGATAACATTCATATTATTAGAAATGGAAAATATTATCTGCTCCTCGCCATCTCTCAAAGTCAGGGTCCCATCATGCACATTTATGAGAGGCTTGGCGTTGGCTAGGAAACGCCTACCTAGAATAAAGGGCACTTCTGCGTCTTCATTGATGTCCAAGACAACAAAATCCACAGGATAAAAGAATCTTCCAACCTTAACCAGGAGGTCTGATATGATCTCACTTGGATAAAATCCTAGTTCCCAATTGATGGCCAAAGAATCCAACCCATTCCCATTAACTAACTCTGAATTTTTGCTAAGTATTCTTACAGTTTCAGGTAGTTCACTTTGCGAGTTCGTTCCTTACAAATGGCTCGATGGAAATGGAGAATTGAAGGCTAGTTTGAAAGATGGGATAACCCTCTACAACGGGACATGCTTGGATGCTCGAGAGGAAGCCAGGAAGATCGATTTTCGAGCTGCTCAAAACGCTATGCTGAATCTGGAAAACTGCCAAGAATTCTCCAAGTCTGAAAGACAGCTGGGATACCAACTTTTGGAGCTTGGTTCGACTGGTTTGAAGGAGAATCGAGTTCCACGAATGCAACCACATGAAAGCATAACTTTCATAGAGCAACTTAGAGGCATTGGTTGATCAAAACCATACTTGGAAGGCTTCCGACGAAGGCGAGCAAGATCGTATGGAAGCTGCCGAGAACACTGTATTGCAAGGGGTAATCCGAATCCGTTTTGGACTAGGATTGTGTCTGAGTGTTTTCCCTTTTATGTTTGAACTCTATTTCCTTGTTTGTTTGAGAATTGGTTTTCCGTATTAAGCTTGTTAGTTACATAGGTGTATTTAAGGTTGATCAATCGCATTGTATATCTCAGATTTCATTGATTCGAATACAAACCCGAGTTTGGTTCACAAAGCTTGAGCATCGTGAGATTGCGAGTTGTTTAGGAAGAGTTATAAGCAGCTTGAGTGCTTGTATCACTCAGCTAATCACACTGATCGT